CCCGGTAATATATTATCCACGGAAAGCAGAGTCCCACACAGTCTAAAAATATATAACCACAGAGGAAAAGGGGTCCAAAGTGAACAGCTTGCAACAGAATTTATTTTTTCAAGGCCCGTCAGTTGATTCTTCAAGAGTTATTTTTCCTCCTTTAATGGAGACACGAGCTATTTCTGCCTGGCTGTTCCTTTAGAAATAACTCGACCTTCAGCTTGGGTAAAGCTGGAATGCTAGGAATGCCGCTCCTTATCTCATTTGGTCATAAATTTGCACACAATCACTTGTTCTTCATTTAATGAGGTTTTTCATAGAACAAGGGCTTCCACTTACTTTGATGTATACTTTCGCCGTGCTTCTGTTTTCTTATTCTCGGCGAACGGAGCTGTCTTTGGCTAGTTGCCAAAAATGGCGCCCGTCTTCGTCTGTGCTGATGTGAATTTCCAGAAGAAAGACAAATCGAGTTGCTGCCCAATCTTCTAACTTCTGTGGCTCACCAGCTGCTGCAGAAGGGTCTCTCCTGACTCTTCCTTGCCCCCCCCCATTTCTGGAAGGGTCCCAGACCGAAGTGGCTCTAGCTTTCCCCGGGAGCTATTCCCGAGAGCTGCTAGCTTCACCAAGACGAAGCTCCTCCTCCAGATTTACAGTATTTCTTACTGACCTTTTGCCAAGAAGAAATAGAACCCAAAATCGTAGTCCCTACTCCTTAAAGTTAAGAGGAGGATTGTCCTAAATTGTGTGGCAGTGGAGGTGGAGAGGATGGAGAAAAATGGCTGATGCCAGGGCTGAACAGATCTTGTGTTGATGGTCCTTCCTGGCCATCCTACTCTTATTTTCTTGTGGGGTGGGAGAAGCCGTTCTGTAGACTTTGGATAATGGATGGTGTAAGTGATTCCTCTCTGTACAGTGAAGTCATCTAAATAGTTCAGATTCTTCTGTGTTATCACTGGATGGATACTGCAGCTTTAAAAAACTTGTGCCACCTTGACTGGAGTGAATTCAAAAACAATTGTTCCTGCCTAGAGTGGAAGGTTTGTGCATTTTAGCACTTATTACAGAGATACAGAAACTTAAGGGAAGCTTTAGTGAGCATCTCAGCTGTTACCTCCCTCACACTTACTCAAAAACAAGAGATTTGGGGGAGCTGATAGTCATTTGTCTATTCACTCATTCATTTAATATTCCACATTTCTCTCAGAACTGGGAACCAAGGTCCCTTACAGGACCATTGAAGACAATAGAAATGGAAGATAGACAATAAAATTGCCAAATTATGGTCTTGATCTGTGGATAGGGGTGATAGATAAAATGGCTGACAGCAATGTAGAATTGCTCCAAGGTTGGGTCTTCCTGGTCTTGGAGAGAAATGCTTCTCTCCTGCTCTCTGGAAAATAAATGCACAGACCTCTTACCCAGTCATTGAATTGATTCAATAACATATTGCCCATTGCTCTTTCATTATTCCTAATTGAGATTTAAATTTCCCTTTGATGGCTTTGGTCTTACGGAAGAGATCCCTTGATTTTCCTTTTATGTTATTTTATTTTATTTTATTTTATTTTATGGTGGCGATTATTACAATAGTTTTGTCCTTACGTGCAAGGTGCTGAAAAGTGGCATTTCAGATTCTGACCCTATTTCTGTAACCCTTTACTTTCTTGTCTGTCATTAAGAATTGTAAGCATTCCATCAAACATACATTAAGGCTTTTATTTTCTTCTGAGTATAGGAATAGTCTTTTTGCATTCTGCTGTGATGATCTCTCTGATTTTGGTCAACAGTTCTTCTGAGGGTGATTTTGTTTTTTTAGAAATGCAAACCTGTTTTTATATGATTTTTAAATTCTTCAGGAATTTTATTTAAATTATAGTTTGGCATAAAGATTGTTTCACTGTTCTTCTTCAGCTTGATTCTAAGTTTTTATATTATCATTGTCTGAACCACAGTCTGCTCCTGACCTTATTTTTGCAGGAAAAATACACAATTTTATAGTCTTATGTGATTTCTATATTGTTCATTAAGTGACATCTATGTGTACAATATTTGTTTAGTTGCTTGAAGCATATAGTGTATTTGCAATGAGCAAATTGTTTGGTTCACAGAATTCCATACATCACTCTCCTTCTTCATTTCATATTCCAAGGCCAAGTTCTCTAGCAGTGTTTGGTTTTGCTTTGTCTCCTATTTCTGCATCCCAATGACCCATAATTATCAACATCCTGTTTTAATGTGGGATCAGCTTCATCCTGGACACTTGCATAAAAGTGTTCAATTTCTTCTTCAGAGTCTGCAGTTGGGGCACAGACATCAGCGGTGGTTATGCTGGTAAACTCCTTCAAGTCTTATTGATATTATTCAGTGAGACTTTACATTATAAACTCTGATTGCTTGCGCTATTTCTCACTATGAAAGCCACTCTGGTTCTTCTGAATTGGTCATTTCCAAAGTAAAAAACTTCACTGTTATCTGTTTGAAAACAACCTGTTCCAGTCCACTTTAACTATTACACAACAAGCTTGGAAATGTTTGAGCATACCACTTCTTGTTATATTTGATTTATACTTCTTACATTCCATATTCCAATTAAGCTCATAATGTAACAGTGGGCTCTTTTTTTTTTTTTTTGCCTCTGTGCACATCAATGACCAAATGTGCATTCAGCTTTAATACAGTTCCTTCTTTAGCAAAAGTGCTGTTCATATGCATCCTTTGCTTTTGTCCAGTAACCAACTGAATACTTTCCAATGTAGAAGTTTCATCTTCCAGCACTATCTCTCATTTCATTTTTGGATTATCTTATCATAGAATTTCAAGGTAAATATTCAGAAGTGGTTTACATTTGCCACTTTCTGTGCATTACTAACAAGAGTTAGCTTGAATATTAGTGCCGTAGTCTATGCTAGTGTTAGCTTCCACCACTGCTGCTTCCTAATAGCAGTACTTTAAGAATATCTCAACCTCCATAACCACTGGTATGATGAAATTAATTTTTGCTGATTAATTAATTCTGGAATAGCATGGATATATTAATTAATTAATTAATTATTAATTCTGAAGTAGCATATATCTTAGTTGGGTTGTCCCAGCTTTGACCATTCCACCTTTGGTGACCTTGCTTGAAGTCTAGAGCACGACTGTATTGCTCTCAGATAACCTCAGATAACATCTCTTCCTGTGTTACTATATTAGATAGTATTTACATCCTACTATATTATATAGTATTTAATAGAGGGGAAATGATGTTGAAAGATAAAAATCTTAAGGCTGATAGAAAAGCTTTCCGGTGAAATAAAGTTTCCTTGTTCCCA